CCTTTCCTTGGCTGCCTGCCACCACTGCCAGATGAGGTGGGGTTGACCCGGGAGAGGGGCCATGGGTGATTGGCCAGCCGGCCCTGCCCCTTGGTCAAACTCCCTGTGGAACTCCAGGTCAAACTCCTGGTCTAGGGGACAATTTGAATATTAGGCTTTTATTATTTAGGATTATCTTTTAATATAATATAGATCCTTGATGTTATTGTTGTTTTTATGATTCTGAGATTAGTTGGAGCATTACAAAATATTTTACCTCTTTGATACTTTTAAGTGTGTTTGCTTGTTACTTTATTAGTGTAATATTTGGTATATAAATATAGATATGGATATAAATATGCATATATAATCACACCTTACTACATAGCTAATCTTTCCATTCTTACATGGTTAACACTGATGAATGAAATACATAACTAGATTTTGATGTAATAATTTTTATTAATCAGTTTTTTACTGATTGAGAATATTAAGAAATCCTTCTCTTCTTTGGCACTTTATATACTCCTAAAGTATATTCTTAAAGCTTTGTTCCTTCTTACAGTTATGTTTCTAATATAGCTAATTTTGAATATGTTGTGAGATGTGTTTAATTTTATTTTCTCTATATAGATACCTAATTTTCCCATCAATACTTGTTGAAAGTTTTTCTTTGACTTCTGTAGTACCACCTTTCTCTGTATATATATATATATATATATATATATATATATATATATATATATATATGTTCCCCCCCCAATGAATCAATTTATATATCACTGTCCCTATGCTATACTACCTTTATAATTGTGGTTTTATAGTAATTCGTGATATTTCTTAAATCCTCCCATTTGGTTCTTGACTTTTTGCAGCATAAAATAAATTTTAGATTTAGCTTATCAAGTTCTATCAAAAACCTATTGGAATTTTGATTGAATTATATTGAATTAGAGGCCTGGTGCATGAAATTCATGAACTGGGGGGTGTCCCCTCAACCTGGCCTACACTCTCTCAGTCTGGGATCTCTCAGGGAATGTCTGACTGCTGGCTTAGGTGCTAAGCTGGCAGTCGGGCATCCCTCTTGCAATCTGGGATCCCTCACTCCTTATTGTTCCCCTCGCTGCTCCTCAGTGCTGCAGCGGAGGTGGGTGAGGCTCCCGCCACTGCCACTGTGCTCACCAGTTGTGAGCCTGGCTTCTGGCTAAGCGGCTGCTCCCCCTGTAGGAGTGTACTGACCACTAGGGAGCAGCTCCTGTGTTAAGCATCTGCCCCTGGTGGTCAGTGCACATCATAGCAACCAGTCATTCTGGTCATTCTGCCATAATGGTCAGTAAGGCTTTTATTATATAGATGTATAAATCAATTTGGAAAAGGGGACATTTTAGAAACATCAAGTGTGTCCAATTTGTAAAGATAGAATCTTCTTTCACTTATCAAAGCCTTCCTTATGACTATCAATAAGGCCTTATATATCTATGTGTTTATTGCAATGTCAAAGGTCTTATTCTCCAGACTCAAGTAACATCTAACCTTTTCTCTACTTCTCCCTCTTACCCAAGAAGTGTTTGTGGTTTTTCCTGTTAGGGTTACCCTTTTCCCCTCTCATTTTCTTAGAAACACCAACATTAGACAAGCCAAAATTCTCTCTCAGCTCCCTCTTTTGTTTTCTAACGTGTCACTCTCTTTAATATGCCTTTGCAGAAGTTGTTCTTTGTCCAGAATGCCCTACCCACAATCAGATCCATCTGGTGGAGCTCAAATGTAACCCTCTCTTAGCTTTCTCTAATCCAACCAGACAGACTCAGCATGTCTTTCCCGGAGTGCTGAAAGAACTGACAATAGTATTATATTACATTATGTTGTTATAATATGATATGACATGATAGTATAGTGAATTATATTATAGTTTATTCTATTATAATTACTATCTTCTTAGACTGCTAGCTTCTTGGAGAAAAGATCTGTTTTCTATTTCATTTTGTATCCTTCATATTTGAAAATGTGGCAGGACATAGTAAAATCTCAAGAAAAGGTATAGATAGGTGGAAAAGGAGTTATTAAAGGACTGGAAGCACAAAGACTAAAGTGTGCCCTTTGGGTCTGTTCTTCTGATTGCTTGGCTAAGAATTCTGAGAGTTTAGGGAAGGATACTTAGCAGAGGGACTTACTTAAAAAATCAAAACAGAGGCTGTAGAGGGGGCTGCAGGCTGCAGCAGGTTTGTGCACAGGAGGGCAGTGGCTGTCCCCCACTGTGGTGCGCTACCAGAGCACAAGTACATGGCCGATTGGTTGGTGTGGGCCAACCTCACAGTGAGAGGAAACAGCCCCTTCTGCTCTCGAGAGACATTGTACCCTTCAGCTATGTCTCCTTTCTGAACATCCTTTTCAACCGTTGAGTAATAAATCAGCTTCAGACCTTCTTCTGGGTCCTGCCGGTACCAGTACATGGCATTGTACCTCAAATTCTGTTCACACTCCAGGGTCACATCTCGTCCAGCCCCAGCGAGGCGGAATGGAGGCACCTGGTAGATTTCAGCATGCACGGATCCTGTGGAGTGAGGATACAAAGGCTGTAGACAAGGCCCAGAAGGGAGCCCGATGCTGCTGTGAGAAGAAGGTGCTGGAGGAGGGTATGCACACCCAGGACAGGACTCTATAAAATGGATGGGTGTTACACTCACCTGCTCCCAGGAGACAAAGGGTCACGTAGCAGAGGGCCCCCCTGCCCATGGCAAGGACAGGATGTTTGTGAAGCTCCAGACAGAGACTCAAAGTGGCTTAGGGAAGAGGCTGGGATCTAGGGCTCCCCCTGGTTCAACACGCAAAATTTGTCCTTGCTGGGAAACGATGGTTACAGCTGATTCTGCAGGTGGGAAGAGTAAAGCTCAAAGAGATCAAGCCAGCTCTCTTCTGTCTAGAGTTCTCCAAATCCATCCTAAATAGACAAATGCCCATGTGGTCAGAAAACAGGATTCCCATTTCCTGGTCAGAATCACATTCAGAATGCACACTGTGTTGAGAACTAGGAAGAGAAATACTACACAGTCAAAGTCTATTTCTCATGCATTAACTGCTATAGCCCTCCAATACTGTTAAGTGGGGAACTCCAATCAGAAGAAGAGGGTTAGATGTTCTGTTGCTGTAAAATAAGGCCAATTCTTTAACCCTCTGTGTTTATTATAATTGACACAGTAGAGATGGGGTGAAGGCTGCTCCAATAATTTCAACAATGGAGAAGGGCCCTAAGCACACACTCCCCTGGGGACGATGGATTAGAGCAGGGGTTTGGGAAACCACCTGGGTGTGTGTCCCGGAGCTGCCATTTAGCAACTATGTCTCTTTGGGCAGGTCTCCTAATCTCCATTTAACTTTATTTTTTCATCTGTGAAATGAAGATAATGAGTATTTGCTTCAAAAGATATATTAATGTTGTGAGCATTATACAAGTAAAAAATTTAGAACATTTTGTAATGCAGAATAAGCACCATGTTTGTGATCATTATTTTCTGGACCTAGCATTCTAATGCACAGGATTTAGGAAGTTAACCCCACGTCAAGGAAAACCAGACATTTACTGACATAGGATTGCACCAGCTAAGTAAAATAGCATTTCCCAGCATTGAATTGAAATGCATACAAGTGTGACTTTATTAATGGATATTGCTATTTGGACAGATAAATATTGTTTTGTTTTTAGGTCTGAGATCATCTGAAATAAAAGACACTTTCATGATGAAATTTGTGATTTGTGGTTGGAATCTGTTTGCTTAGAAACTGGTGAACTGTTGCTGCCCCCTCCTGGCAGAAAGGGAGGAGGGAGAGGGCGGGAAGGAGAGAGAGAGAGAGAGAAAGAGAGAGGGGGGGGTAGAATAGAGGGAGGGGAAGGAGGGAGAGAATGATGTAATGATTTAGAATGAGAATTGTTAGCAGGTGCAGCAGTGTGGGTAGAACTCTGGGAAAGAATGCTCCCAACATGACGGGCAAGGCTTCAGGTTTTCAGTCACAGCTGCAAAGTTGAGGATCTCATTCCTCATCCAGGGGAGCTTAACTTTGTTGGTTCCATGGACCCCTCTGGCAGTCTGGCAAATCCCAAAAACTCCTTCTCAGAATAATATTTTAAACTCATAAAATAGAATACATAGTAGTACAAAGGAAACCAATTGTGAAATGCAGCTATGAAAATATTTTAAAAGAAAATTATAGTATATGAATATGTGTTCATCTTTAAAATTAATTCAATAAAATATATCCTGGTGAGTCTGAAAACTGCCATGACTTCAAATAAATGATATTTAGTCTGTGTTCTGTGATAAGAAACTGCCTGCAACTTTCTTATCACCTGCAATGTATGGAAAGATCTCTGACTCAATACTAGGCGAGGAAAATATTCTACATCTTGACTGTCATGCTGGTTACATGGCTGTAAAAATTTGTCAAAATGTATTGAAATATATAGGTACATAATGTGGGCACTTCTTGTGTGTATGGTATGTTGCTTTTAAAAGTTGCATGAAAAAGTAAAATAGGAAAAGTTGCATGACTAAGCATTCTAAGAACAGAATTTCTGAGTTTCCACTAATTTTCTATGTCAGGGATAGTTGTGAGAACATCATGAAATCCTTAAAGTGGCTCTGGGTCCATAGAGTGTACTGGGCCAGGTGACAGACTCAAATGAGAGACAGTTGACCTGCCCAATCCTTATTTCTGAAGGTACAGTTTTGCCAAGTGAAAACCACAGAATTATATATTTTTATAAAGATTGTTAGGAACCCATCCATTTCATGGGTATAGAAGGTATCTTGGGTCTTCCCTTAATCTGAGCCCCCTTTCCAAAGTCCTTCTTCTTCCTTGGATTTCAGTCCCCATCAGCTGCATTCAACATCCTTTGCTGCTCACTTAGAATTGCCATTTACAATTTTTTCCTTCTAGTGTATGCTCTTTCGAGTTGAGTTTCTGTTCATCCCTACCCACCTATACACCACTCATTTCCTGAGCTGAGTCCATGATGAGTTTGTGTTCTAAGAAAAGCTGACATTCAGCACTGTGGATTGGCTGCTGGCACAGAAGTACAAAGCTGAGTCCCCTGGCTCCGTTGACTGTATTTCCAGGTGGCATGGGGAGTTTTGGGGGCATTGAGCTGAACACCGCTCATTGATCATGTCCGTTTTCTCAATAATTTTTTCATTCTGTAGATAAACCATAAACTTGAGCTCTTCTCCCAGCTTCCGACGATACCAATAAACATAACTATGTCCTTTTATGGGGAGACAAGTCATCTTCACTTTCTGTCCTTTTCCTTTGACCAGATGTCCAGGATCCTGGGTGACCTCAGTGTCCACCGAGCCTGTGGAGGAAGAGACAGAGGGTGGAGTAGTCCGTGAGGCAGCCTGACATGGCGGGTACCAGGAGAAAGGCCTGGGCCTGGAATCTGACAAGTTCACAGCAGGAACCTACCCACTCCCCAGACACAGAGGGCCACACAGCAGAGAAGTGTTAGGCACATGGCTGGTGCAGGAAAAGAGCAGGGGCAGGTGGCCTTCCCTCCTCGGCAGCCTCTTTGTGACATGCTTGCTTCCCATACGTGTCAGAGTCCCCAAGGGCATGAGACCAAAACCTTTCAGAGGAAGTGGAAGCAGCGAGAGCTGCTGAAAACAACCAGTGTGAATTCCAAGCTGCAGTTATCTTCTTCATCCCCCCCTACTCTGCTCTTTCTCTACTTTTATTACAAAATCGCTTATTCATCATTTATTTATTTGCCTGTTTAACCTGTCAATTTGCCTCCCCCTCTTCCCTTCCACTTCAGGATATAAGTCATACAGCTTGGGGTATATAAATCATAGCTTTTACTGTACTATGAAACCATGTAGCAGCTTCTTACATAAAAATGTTAAATGTTGAATAGACAAAAATATATGTGTATGGCAAATATGCAATGCATCTAGGGAAACAATAAAATGAGCATGCTTCCCTGAACCAACCAGCTTAGGAAATAGATTCCTGCTAACCATTTTTAAGCCTGTTTTATTCTTTCAGATATCATTGTTCTTTCTTCACCATTCCCAGGTTTCCATAACCCTGAAGTTTGTATTATCATTCACTTTTTTTTCATTACAGGTTTTAGGACTTGTGTGAAAGTCTATAAATTATATATTATTTAATGCTGTGTGTCTTTGAAATTTCTCTAAGAGGGATCCTTCTGCTCACTTTTTTTTTTTTCCGGTGACATGTTCATTTTTCATTCAATGCTCTGTGAAATTAAAATGATGCATATAATTTTAGATAATTAATTTTTAGTAATATGTAGCACTCCATTTTATTCATTCAGTAGAATTTATCATCCACTATTGCATTGGTGTACACACTTTCTCACCTAAGGTACCTGAAATTTCTAACAATGCCTTCCCCTGAAAGAATATCTGTGCCTGCTCTTAGGTAGGGTATTTCACAGAAATGTCCACATCACCCCCTAGTGGTCAAATTCATCCGATATCCTCTGAACTCTTAACTGCCTTCACTTTCCCTGAATTGCTGAGTGAAGCAGCAGTCAGGTGCCTTGGGTACCAGAGCAGAATTAGGGAACAAGCAGTCCTTGGTGTATTAACCTGTGCGTAGTGCATAGAATTGTTACTAGTAATTAGTCACTCAATTACTCAGTTATCCATCTAGTATTGATTGATGGCTGATCAGTATAATGTGCCTTTTCAACCTTTTCTAGCCACCATTGTCCTAGCCACGCTGTAGGACAATTGAAAACATGCATGTGCGTGCACACACAAAAAATAACAACAGAAGAATCCAAGATGGCTGCTGGGGTAGGCACCTAGCCGCAGCTGCACGCAACAATTTCAATAAAATACAACTAAAATATAAAATGGACATCACCCAGAACTACAGGAAAGTTGGCTGACTGGAAATTCTACAACGAGAAGCAAGGAGAAAACCAGAAGGAAGCGCAGAGGAGCTGGAAAAGCCTAAGGTACGGAGACACGCGGCGCGTGGAGAGGATGGAGCCGGAGAGGAGGGAGGCGGAGTGCCTGGCGGGCGTTCCCTGGCGGGAAGGAGATAAAACTCCGACTGTGCTGGGCCCCCGACAGCTCTGAACCCCAGGCCGAGGCCAGACCCCGGGGACCCAGGCTCACACAGAGGGAGCTGGGCTGTAAGGCGGAACCCCAGGGAAGCGGCGAAAGGAGGTCCTGGCGGCGCCGCGCAGAGAAGGGACGGCCGGCTGTGCCGCGGGATTGCCTGGCGGGAAGGAGACAGGGGCTCCAGACTGCTCTGAACGCCACCTCCAGCTCCACTTCCAACTGAACTGAACCCCAGTTTTGGGACCATTGCGGGAGACTCTAGACTGTTTGGTAGCAGGCGATCGAGGGCGCCTTTCTCTCAGAGGCGCTTGCAAGGAGTACTGAAGGACCCTGAGTCTCAGGAGTCGCATAGGGCGGGGCTGACGGAAGCCAAAGCTGTAGGCTCCACCCTGAAACCCCGCCCCATCAGGAAAGCTGCCTGCGAAAATGCCTAAACCAAATAGATCACAAACGAAAGAAATGGAGGACAAAAAGCGACTGGATATAGAGTTCAAAACCACACTTATAAGGTTTTTCAAGAGTTTCCTAGAAAAGGCCGATAAAATAAATGAGACTTATGAGGATATGAAAAGGGATCAACAAGAAATAAAGAATACATTGTCTGAAATAAAAACTATTATACAGAGTCCTAAAAACAGAATAGAAGATCGCTAGAATCAAGTCAAAGATTTGGAACATAAAGAGCCAGAAGATACTCCTCTGCAGAAGCTAGAAGGCAAGAGAATCCAGAAAATTGAAGATGATGTAAGAAACCTCTGGGACAACTTCAAACGATCCAACATCAGAATTATGGGGGTCCCAGAAGATGAGACTGAGCAAGATATCGAAAACATATTGAAAGAAATAGAGACAGAAAACTTCCCCCATCTGGTGAAAGAATTAGACTTACAAGTCCAGGAAGCACACAGAACTCCAAATAAAAGGAATCCAAAGAGGACCACACCAAGACAAATCATAATTAAGATTCCAAGAGCAAAAGACAAAGAGAAAATATTAAAAGCAGCAAGAGCTAAGCAGGTAGTTACCTATAAAGGAGCACCTATACGATTGTCAGCTGACTTCTCAACAGAAACCATGCAGGCCAGACGGGAATGGCAAGAAATATTCAAGGTGATGAATAGTAAGAACCTACAGCCAAAGATAATCTATCCAGCAAAGCTATCACTCAGAATCAAAGGTCAGATAAAGAGCTTCACTAATAAAAAAAAGCTAAAGGAGTTCATCACCACCAAACCAGAATTATATGAATTGCTGAAGGGGGTTCTTTCAGAAGAGAAAGTAAATAAAGATAAAAATTATGAACAACAAATACGTAACTATCAACAAGTGAATCTAAAAACCAAGGAAATTAAAAAAAAATCTGAGGAACAATATTAACTGTTGAATATAATAGAATCAGAGGTATGGAAGGGGAGTGAACTGATGATTCTTGGGGAAAAGGGGAGAGGGGGATGTGGGAAGAGACTGAACATAAACTGTGCACCTATGGATGAGGACAATGGGGGATGGGGAAAGGGCAGAGGGTGGGGTGGGAAGGGGGGGGGAAGGGACATTTGTAATAATATGAACAATAAAAATTAAGGGAAAAAAAAAGAAAACATGAGAAGAAAAAAAAAATAACAACAGACACTAATCTGATTACTACAGAAGTCAAATGCTTAAACACTCAATGGCAGGTCAAAGGATATATGAGAATTCTCTGTATCTTCTGCTCAATTTTGCTGTGAACCTAAAACTTCTCTTTAAAAGTCTGTGGGGAAAAAAAACCCTCAATGACGCCTACCCTGTTTCCCCGAAAATAGGACAGTGTCTTATATTAATTTTTTCTCCCAAAGTTGTGCTAGGTCTTATTTTCAGGGGATGTCTTATCTTTCCATGCACTAGGTCTTATTTTCGGAGGATGTCTTATTTTCCGGGAAACATGGTATTAAATTTTATGTTTAATTCCACATTATGTACTTTGATAAGGTCATGAGTGGTCTGATGTTTAATGTCTGCCTACTTGTGTCCCATTTCACTGTACTCGCCCCCTTTCTCACTCTTTGCTCCTGCCACATGACTACATCATTCCTTTCATTAAGCACACACAAATTTCTTTCCTGCCTGAATCATTTGCACTGGATCTCCCAACCATGAGCTATCCCCCATTCAATTTAATTAATTCCAGCTCTTTTTAAGGATGTGCCTCTGTTAAATGAGTGTGTGTGTGTGTGTGTGTGTGTGTGTAGTGTATTCCTGTGCGTATGCATGTGTGAGTGTGTTGGGAAGCTGGAGACAGAGTCTTGCTTGGCTCAAGTTGGTTGAGGATCATTCTGTGCACCAAAAGATTGTTGGTTTGATTCCCTGTCAGGGCATATACCTAGGTTGAGGTTCAATCCCCAATCAAGGCATGTACAGAAGGCAACCAAGTGATTATTTTTTTCTCACATCGCTATTTCTCTCTCCTCTCCTCCTCCTCCTCCTCCTCCTCCTCCTCCTCCTTCTCCTCCTCCTTCTCCTTTTCCTACTCCTTCCTCTCCTCTCCATGTCCTTCAGTGAGGTGGAAAAAAAGAGTCTATCTCTTATTACATCCGCCATCCATCACAAAGGTTAACTTGATTCAAATACAACCTATTCTAGGGAGTAGAATATAAACCCAGAGCACAAAAAGAAAGTGTTATACTTTAAAAGAATTGGTCATTTATACCCATGGTCGGCAAACTGTGGCTCACAAGCCACATGTGGCTCTTTGGCCCCTTGAGTGTGGCTCTTCCACAAAATACCATGGCCCAGGCGAGTCAATTTTGAAGAAGTGGCATTAGAAGAAGTTTAAGTTTTAAAAAATTGGCTCTCAAAAGAAATTTCAATCGTTGTACTGTTGATATTTGGCTTTGTTGACTAATGAGTTTGCCGACCACTGACTTATACCATGTGGGTTTTTATTTTGGTGGTACTAGTCCACAGAGGATGGGACACAAATTTGGATTAGGTAACATTCAGTGCTATTGCTATATTTCCCTAAGATAACACATCTGGGCAGCGGGTTGTGTCCTTAGCAGTCAGCTGGATTAGAAGTCAGCTGGATGCACACAGCATCCATCTGCACTACCTGACATGGGAATATCATACCCCTAAGCCTAATGCAGAAGAGGGAAATAAATGACTGTTGAGAGGGGTGTGTTATCACTGGCACGTTTCATGCCAGAATCTAAAATGCTCTTATCTTTCCCTTGCTATTGGTGGGAAAAAAAGCAGTGGGATTATCTAAATATTTCACTAGCTTTCTTCTCTCAGCTGAAAATGCCAACAGAGTAGGGGACTACAATTAAAATGGGACCCTGGTTTCAGTGGCAATGAGCATAATCTGAGGCGAGGAGACTGAAACCAGGTGGGTATTTAATCACCAGGAACAAAATGAACATGGTCATCACGCAGCTATAAAGTGGCAGCATGCCTGTTGCTGAATTGGTTCCCATCTTATTCTGTTCAGTTCTACATAGGTCAGGGGCAAGGTCTTATTTCTATACCTTCTTTTTCACATGTGGTTCTCAGCATCTACTCCCTGGTTCTCAGTACACAATGTTCTTTATCCTAATCTTTCACAAATTTTAACCCCTTCTGGTATTTGTTTTAGTTTCTCTCCTTTTTTTTATTAACTCATTTATATATAGTTTGATTAACCATAACCCTTGGTTCATAACATACAGGCCTTATTGTTGATGGTTATCCTTTTGTTTAAAAATATAATAGGGGCTTGTGAAACATTTCCCTCTAACTCGTCCAGCAACACGTAAGGTAGACCTTGACAACATTTAAATTTAATTATGTGGTTCTCTCCATCCCATCTCCTGCCACTCCCCAGCCAAGACCTTTTAACCACCATCCTGAATTTGTGTCATCATCATCATTCCTTGCCAGTGTGTGTTAGCAAATGTATAATAACCAGATCTCTAGAGGAAATAAAATAATACCTGACTTGTTGTGTCTGTTGTTTGCCATGGTATAAATATTGCCACTACAGCCCATTGACTTAAAACTACCAACATGTCACTGAAATTGGAGATGGCAGAGATCTGTACAATCAGCAACTATGAGCTGATAAAAGGCAGTTTCACAATAACTGTTTTTGCTTTTAATATAATTCTTTTGAACATATGTGCAGTCATGAAAATTATTTTCTTAATTTAATTGTTTTTAGCTTTATAAAAAGTGCATCATAATTTACATAATCTTATCACGGTTAGTTTTTGCCCTGATAATTTATATTGCATAGCTAAGATTCACCTATAACATTCTCACCACTGTAGTTCACTCATTTTGACTGGTATATATGGTTTTCCATTGCATGACTACCTTCTAGATTTAGTGGAATTTCTGGGTCATGGAATATAAGAATCATCAGCTATATGAGATAACGGCAAAGTGTTTCCAAATTATTTGTATCACTTATGCTTCCACCAGTAATCCTGTGGCTCCATACTCTCTCTAACAGTTTATATTTTTAAGCTTTTTCATTTTTTGTTAATCAAATGGATATAAACTTAGATATCATTGTGCCTTAGTTCACATTTTACTGATCCACAATACAGTTAATTATGTCCTCATCTGTTTACTGGTCATAGATGTTTCTTCTATTAAAAGGATATTACTGTATTTTGCTTATTTTTTATTGGTTCCTACATGATTTGTGGTCAATGCAACTTTTTTTTTTTTCTAGGAAAGAATTTTTCTGAAGGGCTTAACTCACTGTTCCACTTATTTTTTCATAGCTTCTGATAGAACTTTCTAGTTCTGTCAACAAGCCATGTTGGTCTAAACTTTTTTATACACTCTCTCTGCTCTCTCCTCCCTTTCACACCTTTCTCAAGAGCCAGTTCAACCAACACCTTAGCTATGAAGGTTCTGCACGTAGATATAGAGGGCACATGCCTTTCTTTGTACCCAGTCTTACCCTGGTCACTCATTAGTCAAAACACTATGTACTGTGCATCATCAACTTCTTTCATGAATGAATCTCTCTGCTTGGCTTACGACTCTTTACCTCAAGGGCCTACAGTGGTGACAAGATGGTACTGAATGGTTTTAGGAAGCCAAATGCCAATATGATAGAAAATACAGTGTTTTATAGGAGCATTTTGAGATCTAGCTAGAGGATTATGTGCAGATCTAAGAGCATGTGATTAGCATGTGGCAGAATTAGGGGGGAAAATCTAGGTTTTATAATTTTCAAGTGACTAATGTAATTTTTTCATGTCAATTGGCCATTTTATTGGCTCAGCCCCCTTCCCATACTCAGATTCTTTTTCTCTCCTTCCCATCCCCCCTCCCTTCACTCTCTCTCTACACACAGATGTCTCCGTCAGAGGAGCTGTGGTTTTTCTCTCTCCACACCTCCTTCTACAGGACTCCACAGGTTCAGTGGGTGGGGAAGAGGGACAAAGGTTTTTGGTTGGTCCTCTGATCTCTGCCCAGCGCTGTGTCACTAGCACCACAGAGGTAGAGGCTGCTATCTGCAGGATGGGCACTTGTCACCGTCAGACTTGAGAATGTTAGGTTTGGATGGCTGATGGGAAACTTGGCCTCAGTAAAACCTTGTTCATATGTGACTGGGGAGCCCATATTAGAAGTCGCCATCAGTATGAGGCCCTGTTTGGGGAACTGGCGATACCAAAGTATAGTTGTGGCCTGAAGGTCTACAGGATGGCACTGGATCTTCACAGGGGCTCCGCTGGTACAGATGGCCCTGCTTGGATGTTGAGAGACGTGAGCACCAAGCCCGGATCCTGCTGAAACAGAGGTCAGAGAGATGAAGGATGCCAGTAGGACCAGCCCCATGTGACCTCAGGCAGGGAACTCATGCCTTTCTTCCAGCTCTCAGAGACCTGTTTCTTTTGTAAAATCTTTCTGTTAGACTCCTTGGATCATAAACCCCCCAACCTACCCCCAATCTGCTTTGACTGGTGGCTTCTCACTTTGCTGTTTCCACTCCACAGTGGGTGGTGGCTCCTCTCATTATGATCAGCACAAAAAATCCACAACCTCTGGCCACCACTTCACTCATACCAACACCCACACCCACTCATCCAAGCTATTCAGATAATAAGGCTCATACTGGACCCCAGAAGCAGCAGAAGCAGTAGCATCTTCAGATGCTGGCCTCACACCACAGGGCTCTTGAAAGGTGTGACCAGCTCTTCATCTTCCTTCTTCCTTTCTACACCCCTGGAGTGGATGTTACATAATCCCAAAAATGTTCTCTTCTGCCCCCTGGTGGGGACCTGTGCCAATGATGCAAGATCCCTTGCTCTTTCACCCTATCAGAGAACCATACACACACTGCTGAAAGGGCCTTGGAAATGTTCTCATTTGACCCCTAATTCTATAGAAGATACCCTGAGATCTACATCATTTAAAGGACTTAAACGAGTATTTTAGACTTACATAAGAAAGGGGGTGTATGTTTGTGTCATAAGGGCATTATGGTCAGTTCTTTACTTCTCTGTCATATTCTCAAAGTGTCTAATGTTAAGTCCTTACCTTTGGTTTTTCTTCTTTATAATGCACATACTTGCCTAAAGTTTGATTGCTGAGTCGTCTACTCCAAATTTGGCTATCCTCAATAACACATGGCCAGACACAGGGACTAGATTAAGAGCCAGGCAACAGGCAGCTTCTCCTTCCCTCTAGCCCCCCAGGCCCAGACTCTGGATTGATTTCAGTAATTGACCACTTTGAGCTTCCTGCACTTTAAGTTCCTGCTCTTACGTTTTATTTATTTATTTATTTATTTATTTATTTTTAATATATTTTATTGATATTTTACAGAGAGGAAGGGAGAGAGATAGAGAGCTAGAACCGTCGATGAGAGAGAAACATCAACCAACTGCCTCTTGCACACCCTCTACTGGGGATGTGCCTGCAACCACGGTACATGCCCTTGACCGGAATCAAACCTGGGACCTTTCAGTCCGCAGACCGACGCTCTACCACTGAGCCAAACTGGCTTCAACTATTCTTACGTTTTAAATTCAATAATAGTGAGTCCATGAAATACTAGACCCCTACTCTCTACACCATTAAAAGCTGAGCCTCTGGCCCATGTGTGCCAAGTCAATAAACTTGTGTCTTTTCAATGTTTCCTGAGGGATCTTGTGAGGATGTCTTGCAATCATAATAAGAACCACAATAATAACCAGCCACAGTATTTATTATTGGGAGGCCGAGCACAGCCACTAAGACAACTCATACTTGTTTACCTTTTAGTGTGTGCTCTTGTGTTTGGCTTCTTTTGTTCAACATTATGTTTACGAGATTCATCCACCGATGATGTTGAAAATAGTATCTAAAGTTTTGCTGTATTTTGTTCTATTGGATAAATATAACACTGTTGCTCTATTGCATTATTGATGCACATTTGAGTGTTTTGCAGTTTGAGGTCATTGTGAATAAAGTTTCTGGGATGGTATGTTCTTCTCACATCCTCTTCTGTTTCCTCAGAATTCTGAATTATTTCTTGACTTTTAGTTAATATATAATTACAGATTAGCTTTCTTTTTTTTAAAAATACATTTTATTGATTTTGTACAGATAGGAAGGGAGAGAGATAGATAGTTAGAAACATCGATGAGAGAGTCATCGATCAGCTGCCTCTTGCACACCCCCTACTGGGGATGTGCCCGCAACCAAGGTACATGCCCTTGACCGGAATTGAACCCGGGACCCTTCAGTCCCCAAGCCGACGCTCTATCCATTGAGCCAAACCGGTTTCGGCTACAGATTAGCTTTCTGACTTGTCTAATTTACTCCTGATTACTTTTAGAATATTTCTGAATTTAGAAATTATGTTTCTTGTACCTAAAAAAACCATTATCACTCTTTGATTATATTTTTCTATAATATTATTTCAGATTAATAGATGTGATGGCTTTCATAACTTACCATGGAAACATTTAGTGATATTTTAACTTTTTTGACTTTCATTTACTACAACAACTCTTACAGCTTGATCATGGGACTGGGGACTATTAGAAAACTTCACAGCTAAAGAGTGATTTTTAGTATCAGGAAAAAGTAGATGATTAAGATACTATAATAGACTGCACAAATTTTAAGTGCACAGACGAGAGTTTTACAGTGGTCATTTTAAAATCAAGTAAGGTTTGCCCTAGCTGGTATTGCTCAGTTGGTTGAGCCCCATCCCATGCACCAAAAGGCCTTTGGTTTGATTCCTGCATATGCCCCCAGGTTTTGGGTTCAGTCCCCTGTTGGGGCGCATGCCATAGGCAACCGTTTCATCTTTCTCTTCTCTCTCTCTCTCTCTCTCTCTCTCTCTCTCTCTCTCTCTCTCTCTCTCTCCCTGTTTCTCTCTCTCTCTCTCTCTCTCTCTCTCTCTCTCTCTCTCTCTCTCTCTCTCCATGATACAAATAAATAGATGGTAAATAGATGATAGATAGATGTAGTTTTTAAAGCCAGCCCAGTGGATCACTGAAGTAGCGTGCCATTCCACACAGCATGGTGATGGCAGCAGCTGCTGTGAGTGCCTGGTTGAGGTGGAAAAAAAAGTGGGCAAGGCTAGGTATGGAGGACCATGCCATCTGGCAGTGAAGCAGGGCCCAGACACATTTGTGCACAGAGGGGAGGTGGCCGTGCTCCACTGTGTCTGCACTGCTGGCACAGAGATACACAGCTGTCTGGTTCTTTCGGGTGGATGTCACAGTGAGGGGAAAGAGTGGCTTCTTCTCCCGAGAGGCACGGTAGCCCTCAGCCAGGTCTCCCGGCTCAACATTCTTCACAACTCGTGAAAAGTAGATCAGCCTCAGCCCTTGCCCTGGGTCCTGTCGATACCAGTACATGGAGTCATGATTCAAGTTCTGTTCACAGTCCAGGGTCACATCTCGTCCTTCCTCTCTGAGCAGGTATTTTGGGGTCTGAGTGACACTACTACGCACTGTGCCTATGGAAGAAAAAGGAAAGTTCTGGAAACAAAGCCCAAGAGGGTGCCTAGACTGCTGTTTGAGGGAAAGGCTTAGATCTGGAGGTTGGCACCTTCCGGACAGGAATTTGCTCCCTGAGCCCTAGACTCACCTGCTCTCAGGAGACAAAGGGCCAAGCAGCACAGCATCTGGCTCTCCATGGTGGGAAGGGGTTCCGCTTGAGCTCCAACCACTTGCAGGAAGACAAATAAGGCAAGAAACTTAGCTCTGGGGATCCCCTGAGTCTGTGTGCAGAATTTGCCAGAAGGCTAGAATGGATAGTGGGAAGGGATCCTGGAGATATCCAGGATGGGCTTCCTAATTTTTCAGATGAGGAGACAGAATGGAGACCTGAATTACTTGCACCCCATTCCCCCTTGTGCCTTTCTCCCTAACACCTGACTCTATCTGGCCTGAGTGGGCTGGCCCCCAGCTGAGTCTCACTCCGATTGGCCAGCTGGTGATTCCTTCCTAGACATGGTAGGGTTTGATCACTACAGCAGCCCTGTAGACACTGGTCACTCGAGAATGTGGATTTCATTTTTAATCCCATTGCACCATGAATGCCATTCTGCTCTAGTCCATCCTGCATTCATGCCAAGGACCCCTTTCTTTCGAGAACCTTCTCTCTAACTGGTTTTACTATTGTCATTTTTATTCTCTTAGAAGTTTCCCTGTTTCTCTTCAATGCCCTAGCTAACTTCCATTTGAGTGCTCATTGAGTATCTTTTAATGGATTCTTCATTTTTTAGATAAGTTTGCTAATTTCATTTCTTTTTGTTTCTCCCTGTTTTTGACATTTCTGTTCATAATTTTTGAACTTCTGGCTTAGGTTATCTTATCTTCAAAGGCTTGCTTGCATATATATTTGTTTGGAGTGGAAACTTCATTTTGTCTTTTGACGCATGATTGTTTTTCAGGGGAGACAGTGGAAGGTGAGATTTTTCCCCTCTCTTTCCTATGGATGTTATGTTCCTTTTGTTCATTTTCATAATGTTGGGGTGTTTACAATATACCCAGCTTAATGGGATCCTTTTCCATTGTCCTGGCAAATTCTGGTCGCTTCAGTAAATTTGGTTTTCATTGGGGGGGGGAGGGAGTTCTTCTTATTTCATAATTTTCTCTTGTTTTGCAGGACTCTAAACTTTCCCCTATTTTTTCTTTCTTTTCTTTGCTATCCAGTGGTCAGAGGACCTTTCTTTCTTCCCTTTTGACTTTTTTTTTTCTCCCTCAGAAACTTAATATTCAGATGATCTCTTAAATCCCATCCCTGGTGATTTAAATGGAGTGAGAGCTTATGTCCTCCTCTCTACTGTTCAGCTCAGGTCTGACTGGTGGTGGTGGTGGGGGGGAGTGACGGGGGTCCTCCTGGGGTCTCTCCAACCCTCCTCAGCGTAGTCACTACCCCGCTCTGTGCCCCTGGCAGAGAGGAGAAGGATCACAGTGTGAAATAATTTCAGAAAATTAAAAGGCAGGAAACATAGCCAAATGACCTGGTGTGTAACCCTTCCTGGTGAGGGTGGACTCCTCTGGTATGTATGCACTTGAAATGACTTTGCATTCATCTACCTGTTGATTTTATGAAATTGTTTCACCAAAGCAAATGAAAAGAAACACTATTCTCTGTGTGCCCAACATTTCTTGAGTGGTGAGATTTAAAAATATATTCAATGAGATAACAAAGAGTTTAGGTAATAGGTTTCTAATGACTTACCTTCCAAATTCCAGGCAAATGTATTCAACTCTATTTTCACCATCTCCGGGATAGCCTACAGCTGGAGCTTTAAGTCCCAGCATCCACACACAGCTACTCAGGCGTTAGGCAACAAAACCAGGATGATTCCAGAAAGAATCAGAGGCTGGTTTAAAAGCACAGTCCTTTGAGTCACACAAACTGCGTTTATTTCCTCCCCTCCCTTCTCTCCCTCCCTCTCCCCCTCCTATTCCCTTCTCTCTCCTGTCCCTCCTCTTCTCCCCCCCCTCCCCCGCCTCTTCCCCTCCCTCTCCCCTTTTTCCTCCCCTTCTCTCCTCCTCCCTCTCCCCTCCCCTTCCTGGCTTCTTCTCCCTTTCCCTCTCTCCCAGTTTGAGAAGGACAACAACAACCCTGGAACCATGTTTTCTCATATTGAAAATGAAGACCACATTTCCTTTGATTGATTATCTTGCTTTTTCACTAAAATTCAACATTTATAGCACTCAACAGAGAACTTGAAATAGAGTATGAAGTAAAGAAAAGAGAACTGTTAGTCAATAAATAGTTAATCTGACAAATTATGTCACCTTTTGCGAATGACAGTCTTAGTTTGTGAATGGGGCTGGGAAGTTCCTTGCTATTTCTATAGCCCTCCCCTATTCCCACCCTCACCCTTAAAAATGCTTCACAAGTAATTTGTCCACTAGTCCGAAGCCAGGTCCCTTCCCTGGCTGTGGCCCTGTCCCCAACCCCAGCAGCTGGGGCTGTGTCAGGGCGGGGCCTGGAGGATGTTTGTGCCCTGGGAGGATGTGACTTTGAATTGGTGTGGAGGAGGAGCTGGCACAGAAATACACTGCGGAGTCGCCCAGCTCCGCCAGCTGGATCTTAAAGCGGCTGGGCCCCTCTTTGGGAAAGTCAGCCGAAAAGCGTTTTGTTGGCATTCCTGACTCGTCCAGGATTTCTTCTCTCCGGAGGTAAATCATGAATTTCAGCCCTTCCTGCGGGAGCTGCCGATACCAGTAGACGTAAATGTGGCCTTCCACTGGGTGGCATGTCAGGTTTGCCTCCTGTCCTCTCCCCAGGACCAGGTGTCTTGGGTTCTGTGTGACGCTGCTGGGACTCGTGGGACCTCAGAAGAGAAGAGATGGCATGAGACTAAGTTCTGAGGGCAGAGGAAGTTTGTAGCTCACAATGAAGCAGCCCCAAGACTAGTACAAATAGCTTTGAAGTTTCCTGAGTTCATTTAAAAATTCACATGAATTTTGCTTTTTGTTCCATAATGCATTTGTTTTGTAGAAATGTCAATACCTTCCAGAAAATCTTTGGGAAACATGGAGATCAGAGCATATTTGAGGCACAGCCAAAGGCCAATGATGCTGACCCATTACCCAGAACTCACCTGCCCACAGGAGCCAGACAACCACCCAGCAGCGGAGTGTGGTACCCATGGCTGAGTTGTCATGAGGGGAGTCCAGGGGCAGAGCAAGGAAGGGTGCTTCCTGCAGCAGCTCAGGGAGCTAGACCTCACAACTCCTCCCATGAGGCGAGTCTTCCTGTGACATCACCATTTCTAATGGATCCTATTGTCTGCAGAGGTGATCTTGCACATCAGTTAAATGGGACATCTTTTTCCCTGAATCATACAAACATCCTGCTTAGTATGTGTTACTATGGGGCTAATGTTGTGCAGGGAAAGCCAAGAGAGATGAGTACCTTTATTATTGGTCCTTAGTTTAGGAATGATTAATTTTTACCATATCCCTCCCCATTTTTTCTTATCTTCTGTTTCTTTATTTTCCTTTCATTGGCTCAGGTTATCTTTCCATTTTCTGTTGCTGAGCTGAGGTAGCGACCAGATATGATATCTAGATTCATAGGAAAATGGAGACCAGGATAACTGGGGGAAAATCAGATTCAGTTTCCTTTTTTCCTCCTTCACCTCAGTCATCTCAAACATTTTGAGGAACTTTATTTTATAGTTTATAATTTATTTTTCTCATCTCTTGTTATTCTATTGGAATTTTTGTTGTTGTTTATTCTCACTTGAGGATATTTTTTCTGTTGATTTTTAGAAAGAGTGGAAGGGAGGGAGAGAGAGAAAGAAACATCAATGTGAGAGAGACATCGACTGGTTGCCTCTCACATGCATTGCAACTAGGGCCAGGGACGAACCTGCAACCCAGGTACCTGTCCTTGACTAGGAATCAAACCCAAGACCCTTTGGTTTATGAATTGATGCTCTAACCACTGAGAAACACTAGCCAGGCAGCATTTTTAATATAAGTATCTATTTTAAAGAACAAACATTAGCAAAATTCAAACTCTCCCTCTCATCTTGTGTCCCTATGTACTAATTGTCTTCTTGTATTATTCTCTTTAATTATGATGTGTTACTGATGTTTGAGGGGTCTTCCTTCATCTTTTCTAACCTGTGACATTGAATAAAAATTATGTGAAAAGAAGGCATAGTGAAAAGAAGATTCAAAGAAAAACAAAGCATTCTATTAGAATTTACAGGCTCTCAGAGGAGATGCAACCTATACATCTAGAATCCTCTAGGCTTTGAGTAATAAATAAGATCATGTCAACCTTTAGTGTCCAAGTAATGGCTCAAAGCCTTGCCTTATTAATAGCAGGATCCCAAGGCCTCCCTGAAAAGCTCTCATTATTTTGGGAGGAATTCAGCAGGCTTCCCCAAATATATACTTCAATCAAAATGCAGCTGCCAATAACACTTGGAGTCAACACAGTTATCTTTCCTGGAAACACTCCAAATTCTCACAAATGCTTTTTTAAAACAACATATTTTTATTGGTTTCAGAGAGAATGGAAGATGGAGAGAGAGATAGAAACATCAATGATGAGAAAGAATCATTTGCACATACCACACTGGGATTCAAGCCCGCAACCTGGGCAATTGAACTATGACCCCTGGTTTATAGGTTGAGTTCAACCATGAGTCAAGCCAGCTGGGCTGCTCATGAATGCTTTTGATGAAAATGCCATCACTGGATGCCCATGCCTGGCCCAAGGAGACAGTTCCTGGGTACTGTTAGAGTCACTAGTGCTCAGGCTGCCAGGACAGTGATGGTTACACAGATGTGGGGACATGAGTTGTCTCCTCATCATCTCTGAGGTGATGTTGTTACTTAGGCCCCAAGGCAACCCTACTTATGAGAAGAATCTAACCAAGCAATTTGTGAATGGTTCCATCAGCTTCTAGCTGGTTACCAGTCAAAGGGGTCAGATAAGGACAGATGCCTCACCACTCAATTACTCTCCACTGCTCATTACTGTGTTCCAAAGCAACCCTTCTCTCTCTGTCTTAGCTAGATCAAACATTGTGATGAGTATGCAACAGATGTAGGCAGCAAAGCATGTGTTGGAATCTACAATGGTCAGATTATTATATTATAATAATAACCTGGGGCCCTTTAATATGTGAAAGAGGCTGAAACTGATTTGGCTCAGTGGATAGAGCATCGGCCTGAGGACTGAAAGGTCCCAAGTTCGATTCTGGTCAAGGGCATGTACCTTGGTTGCAGGCACATCCCCAGTAGGGGGTGTGCAAGAGCAGCTGATCGATGATTCTCTCAAAGATATTTCTAACTCTCTATCCCTCTTCCTCTCTGTAAAAAATCAATAAAATATATTTTTTAAAAATATGTGAAAGAGGGTGCTATTCATAATGATGCAAAGACAGCAAGCCTGAACCAGGAGAGCCATGGTAAAGCTTTTGATGCCTTACAAATGTGCAGGGAAAAGTTTTTCTGACACGCTCCTTTATTGCCATCTGGTGGCAGTGGGGGAGATTGTAGGGAATTAATATATACCATTTTATTTTACATGACTGCATTCCAAGTCAGTGTCAATGTTGAGAAGTACAGGAATGATATATGATGTGTCTGCCAACCAGATGTTCTCAGTATCCGAGTGTTCTTACTTCCCCTTGAGAGGTTTGTGTTATCTGCACTCTCACAATTATTCCCATTTAGTCACTACCCTGAGGGGAGTGGCAGTCTTATGAGGAGGCACCCCTGTGGTAAAAGGATGTAACACACCTGCTATAGTGAGCATTCTGTTGTTCCACAGAAAACTCAACGCATCTGTGTGGGGTACATTGATGGGGAGAGACTGCAGGGGAGATGTGTTTGAGATAAAATCAGTAGGAATTTCTCAGTGTTTTGGTAATATCAACCTCAGATACGTGATCACTTCATAGAACTCAATAGTCTTTGTATGAAGATACCGCCCCAAGCACCCACTCAGAAAGAGCAGGGAACTCTAAGAGAAGTGGGCACTGTCCCTGCCCCCGACTCTGGAGCTGTGGTGCAGAGTTCTGTCCATGGAGAGAGGCAGGACACAGGCAAGCTTGACTTTGACTTAAGGTCCTGCCAGGCCTTATTGACCGTTTCTTATGATTATACTGCAACCCACATCCTCCTTTACTTTCTTCATTGTTTCTTTCTTTTCTTTTTCCTTTTTAATTATGTTATTTATTGATTTCAGATAAGAAGGGAGGAGAGATAGAAACATCAGTGATGAAAGAGAATCATTGATCTGCTACCTCCTGCACGACCCCTACTGGGGATTGAGCCCACAATTGGTACCATGCCCTGACCAGGAATTGAATCATAATCTCCTTGATTCATAAGTCAATGCTCAATCACTGAGCCACACCAGGCCTTATTTTTCCCCTCCTTTTCTTCTTCCCTCTCTCCTCATGAGGGTCAGATTTGCATCATTATCTGATGGTTCTCTCAGTTTTTTTCCCATTTTCTCTCACAGGCATTTTCTAACCCAGGCTTGGCATCTAATTCTTAGAGGACCTTAGTTAATGCATATAGAGCAAACTCTAGTAATTTTAATGTATCTACTATTTTAATATATCGTACAAAGCCCCACATCTAGCTTTTGATATGAGTCGTATCTGTGCTACTTAAATACTTCATAGATTTACATCAGACAAAATAGTTAGAAGTGTTATGAATAATGCATGCCCCAGGCAATACATGTCTCTCAATCTGGAACAAGTTCTCAGCAGTTATAATTCTCCTTACTCAAAAAGAAACCTGTGAGATGGTCTCAACACACCTATGAGGGCATATTTTTCTCCTTAGGGGGAGGATTTGTGGGAGGGGTTTACTTCTTGCCAGGCCCTGCCCTTTAATATATTGCTAAATCTCCAACTTAGATTAAAAAAAACAACAACAATAAAAAAGTTATTATTTTTCTTCTGAAGAGAACAGTATGGGTGATTAAAGTGATTCTGGGAAAACACCACAAACTGAATGTCAGAATGAGGGTAACCACCTTTCCAGTCTTGGCATAACCGTCAATGGTTTTTGTAGGTTTAGGCCCAACTTCCAACTGCAAAGGAGATAATAACAGCCAGAACCCACTTCCTATTGCTGTTGTGTGTGGGGGGGAAGGGGGTGACTAGAGAGGGCTCTTGGATCTGGAAACAGGTTTATGAGCAGAGAGGAGGTAACACTCTAGCTCTGTGTACTTGCTGCTGGCACAGAGATACACTGCGGAGTCCCCCAAGCCTGGTGAGCGGATATCAAGAGAACAGAAGGAAGCATTAGGCCGGCTGGGTTGGAAGTTATCCGAGGTGTCTGTCTGATTGGTAAATTCCTGATCATAGTAGTAGAACAGCAGCTTTGGGGCTTGGCTCAGCTTCTGTTGATACCAGTACATGACATCATGATTTAGGTCCTGAGCACAACTCAGGGTCACTGGTTTTCCCATCCTGGTAACCTGGTATCTTGGGTTCTGGGTGACCATAGCACCCATGTAACCTGCAGAAAAAGAAGAAACATTTATAGACAAGAGGGAGACTCATGTTGCTGCCATAAAAGAAAGGCACAGAACTGAGGACTTCATAGCTTTAATAAGAAATGTGCTTCTAACCAGGACTCAGTACTCCAAGGAGACAAAGAGCCACACATGGGAGAAGCCTGGGACCCATGGCAGGGCCAGAAAAGGAATGGGGCATCTGTCTGTTCCAGACTCTGGGTTGAGAGGTGGGAGCTCTGAGTCCATGGTCTCTGATAGGCAGGTCTACCTGTGATGACAGTGCTGATGTTGATGTCACCAAGGCAATGATCCCTTCTTGTGATATGATACACAGCCTACTAGGCAGAGGTCTGGGCTTGGCTGGGTTAGGTATGAAGCAAATGTTATGTTTTCTTATCTGTACCCTTCCTATATCTGCCCCTGTTCATCCAAGTTCCATCTCGTTTCTCCTTACTTATATCCTAAAGAAGTTCAGAGGTTCCTCAATACATGAATAGCTTTTGCTCCAGTCTAGCTGATAAACCTATTGAGATAATGTCTTTGTTTTATTATCTACGGTCATTGATGGATGACAGATGTCTGCCAACCAGTTCCACCCTAATACAGAAATCAAGTTTGGAATTCCTCTATCTTTAACCACTTTTCAGAGCATATCAAGGAAAACCTCTATAACTTTTGGCTATGGTGACACAACAATGCCTCCTTGTGGCCAGTAGAAAAGTTTCTAGAACAGCCTTCCTACATTGCCCAAGGAGATCTGAGAAATCAGGTGAGACACAGGAAGGCTTAAGCATGTATCTAGTCCCTTCGATCCTCTCTGCTGAGAACTGGTCATCAGGCATTTTTGATTTATCCTGTACATACTCTCGTAGGACGCTGATCAGAAATGTCATTTCTTTCCCCATGGCATGTCGGTATCATAAAAGAATCTCATGTCCAGAAATCGGGTCGCATTTCAGAGTCACAGTCTGTTCCTTCCCTATAAGCCTGTGGCTGGGAAACTGAGTGACTGCAGCCGGTGTGTGTCCTGTGGGAAAAGACAAGAACATAGAATACATGGCAAGAGTAGACCAGGCAAAGGCAAAGTAGAGATATTCAAACTTACAAGGGCTTACTTGCTCCCAGGAGACAAAGGGACGCTAAATTGAGAAGCCTGCACACCATGACAGGATCCAAATAAAAAAGTAAGAACTTTTCCAGGTGACAGAACTTGTAAGTATGAGCAAAAATGAGAGCAAATCTGTGTCCCCTTGGCGCTATAGGGTGTGTCCTGGCAATGACATCACCATACCAGCCAATGTCTATTGTCTCAGGAGCGCCCTCTGGGGAAGAAGCATAGAAGGAAGAGCAAAGTTTTTCTGAACAAGTTTATCCTTAGAGGGGTGAAGAACCAATGCCAATAAATTGCCAACAACATTGACCTGTTTCTGCATTTAAATAGGTATTATCTTCTCATATGTTCACCAAAAAAGTACACCAAAGTAAAGAATGCAACTTACTTTCCTAATTATGGTGGACAGGTCAATAATTTTTATCCTTTTAGAACAAAATGTAAGGCCTTAAAATGTGTCTGAAATGTAACAGATGCCCTATACATGTTTTTGTTTAATTAAGTGAATTAATTAAGATGTACGTTGGATGCTGTCTTGATGAACCGGGTGGCTTTCTAGGACAGGTGACATGGTGTTCAGACAGTAGTGGCCAGTGATGGCTTGCATTGAACCCACAGACTTCCAGTTAGATAAGGGATAGAAAGAATTCAAATATTTAGGAAGAGTTCAAACACGTCCAAAGAAAAGCATGTCTGATCTACCATGTTTCTATTCTAGTTATTTGTATGTGTGTTTTGGAAATGAAAAAGTGGAATGTTACATGCAAATTGAAATTACTGCTATTAAAAGTGAATCTCTAGGAATGTAAAACGGCACAGTCATGCTGAAAAATAATTGGGTAGTTTCCTTTAAAAAAAAAAAAAAAAAAGAATATATTTCCCAAACAACATCTCACTTTGAGGCATGAATTTACCCCAGAGAAATGAGAATTGATGTCCACACAGAATCTTAAATACAAGTGTTCACTAGTATACAAAGCCAATTAACTTGTAATAGTAAAAAAATAATAATAATAGAAACAACCAAAAAGTTCTACAATTAGTGAGTGGCTGAACAGATTGGTACATCCATACCATGGAATGCTACTTGGCAATAAAACAAACACACAAGAATTATTGATAAATATAACAACTCAGAAAAATGTCAAGGGTAATATGCTGAGTGAAAAATAAAAATATGAAAACAGATCACCTCCTGTATGAGTCCATTCATAAAACATTCTCAAAATGACATTATGGATGTGGAGAATAGATTAGAGGTTCCCAGGGGTTAGGATTGGTGTGTGTGTGTGTGGTTGGGGCAATTTTGTGGTATTGTAATAGTTGTGTAACTTTAAAAAAATACATTTTATAGATTTTTTACAGAGAGGAAGGTAAACAGAGAGGGATAGATAGTTAAAAACATGATGAGAGAGAAACATCGGTTAGCTGCCTCTTGCACATCCCCTACTGAGGATGTGCCCGAAAACAAGGTAAATTGGAAAGGTCTGAAGATCTGAGGATATCTTGGTACCATTTAACCATTCTGATAATGAAGGCAAAGACAGGACCACTAATCATGAACTGAGATAATCCAGCCTAGATAATGGCCTTTGCACAGTAGCTGCACAGTTTAAAGTTTATTTTATCACTTGAAGCCCAAGGGGTGACATTAATCCTCAACCTTGAACTTAGCCATTCTCTGTGAAAATTGTGAGGAATGCAAGGAACCAACCCATAGTCCCTTCTTATGACTTTATTTAATGTGATATTTTCAGTGTAATCAGCTCTTGTCTTCCATAGGCCCATTCTCTGACACAGGCGAGCCTGCAAAGACTGCTGAGGATGTCTGGGGCTGGAAGGGGAAACAGGAAGGTTTCTGCACAGGGAGGGGGTGACTCTGCAGCTCTGTGGCTAAGCTGCTGGCACAGAGATACATGGCCGAATCCCCGGCTTCTGTAGGCTGGATCTTCAGAGTGGAGAATGATCCATTAGCATTAGCTGAGAATCGTTCCTTGGGCATCCCTGTCTCATCAATAGGAGCTTGATTACGGAAATACACTAGCAACTTCAGTCCCTGTAGTGAGGTCTGTTTGTACCAGTAAAGGCTGTCATGGCCAGAAATTGGCTTACAACTCAGAGTTACTTCTTGTTCAATCTTTGTCACCTTGTGCCTGGGTGTCTGGGTGACTCCAGCATCTGAGAGCCCTGAGGAAGTGGACAGAATTTGGGAATTAGATAAGGAACATAAAAGGAATCAGAATTGGGAATATTTTTAAAATGCAGAATACTTCTTTCTGGGGACTCACCTAATCCCAGGAGACAAAGGATGGCAGAGCAGAGGAGCCTGGCGGCCATGGCAGGGTGGGGCAAGAAGAGGCTTCCCCCAGAGAGGGCCCTTGTGGGGATGAACAGAGGGAAGAGTGGCTTGGCAGTGACTTTGCACTCTGTCACTACTCATAGGCCCTCCTCCCAAGATGAACATGAATTCTCTACAAAAGATCCACTGAAGAACTATCCTGGATGTGGCCCTAGCACATGGGCTCTTTCTGGTGAGAAATGCCAGTTGTTTCTCTAGCCTTTACCACCCTATATTGTTCCTCTTTTGCACATTTATTTTCTTTATATCTGAGAATTTTCCTTAAAAAAAAAAGAATTCCTACCCCCCTGAAAGAATTTTGGGGAGTAATATTTTACAAATTACCTTGGTAATAAGTGAGACAAATTTATATATAACACAAAGGTAGACATCACCCCCTGTTCTCCTTCCAATGCCACTTTGTTGAATTACCAGTAGAAGAACTTGATCTGTAAACATTCGTAGATTTGTCCTGGCTCATATGAATTTATAATAAAAATGGGATATATGAAAGAAATACGTTTTGTTTTATAAAAGAAGAAACATCCTCTATGTATTATCTTATAATATCTAAAATTTGACAAAATATATGAACAGTCCTACATGCCAGTAGAGATGAATTCATCTCTATATGCCTTCTTTCTTTATTCATATAAATGTTTTTGCATAAATGGGATCATATATTTTTGAGCTTCATTATTTAATAATTATATGGTTACAAAGTTTCTGATATTAAATAAGAAGATACCACCAGATCACCATGTTAGAGGAAATAGATTTTTTAAATGTAAGCAGAGTACCCTTTTGACCTATACACTTCCCTGTGCACATCTGGTGGCCCAATGGGATACTTGTCAATGAGTATCAGATCAGAAAATTCTGTCAGTGATGTGGCTGCGTTGTTATCATTGCAAAAATGCTGTTTGCTGTTTCAGGAACTGCCCTTTTGCCATCCATAATGCCTTGAAGGAGCTGAATTTAACCAGGGTTGGCATTATGGTCTTAAACCTTATACCTGGTTTAGACAATGTGAGAATTAAGAACATAAGAGTTTAGCCTGGCTGATGTGGCTTAGTCGTTAAGCATTGACCTATGGACCAGGAGGTCACGGTTCAATTTCAGATCAGGGTGCATGCCCAGGTTGTGGACTCAATCCATAGTAGGGGGTATGCAGGAGGCAGCTGATTGATGATTCTCTCCCATCATTGATATTCCTCTCCCTTCTTCTCTCAAATTAATTTTTAAAAGGAGCATAGAAGTTTATAAGCTGTTGGGTAATTGGGCTGAAGGTCAGTGACTAAAAAAATCACAGGAGAAATAATGCTGAGCTAGTGAGATGGAAAGAAAGGACAATAGAGTAGCATAATGGAATGTTTGAAATAGAAATTTTGGAAAGTTATTTTATTTTAAATATATATATATTTTTTATTGATTTCAGAGAGGAAGGGAGAGGGAGAGAAAGATAGAAATATCAATGATGAGAGAGAATAATTGATTGGTTCCTTCCTGCCCCCTACTGGGGATAGAGCCCTCAAGCCCAGCATGTGCCCTTGACCAGAATCATACCCAGGACCTTTCAGTCCACACACCAATGCTCTATCCACTGAGTAAAACCAACTAGAGCTGGAAAGTTTTATTTGTTGTTTATTCTGTGGCTGGAATCATCAAAGTGTGTATGAAAAAGGTTGGAGTCTTAAAAAGGTCATCAAAAGTGAGGAGGTCAAGAAATTGAGAAGCCAAACACATGTATAAATTGTTTATATCATGATGATGTCACCTAAATGGCAGGGTTATTAGTGATGAGAAGAAGTGAATGAGGAGACATCTGATGGTAAGGAAGTCAGTGCATCAACAAAAGATTATATTCTCATGCCATGTGTGTGAAGAGCTGAGAATTAAAGCAGGGGAGAAGAGAAGGGTCTGGACACAGCAAGGAGGAGCCAGGAGGACAAAGAATGCACTAAAAGCAGATGTATTATGTTCAATATAACTCATGGCATAAACATAAAGAACATGTTACTGTTTCCACTTTAAGATCAGGGCCCCTGAATGGCAAAATGTAGAAGAATGACAAGTGCTATTGGCGGTATGACAGAATTCTAGAAAACTTGTGGGGAAATTCTGTTGACAGGGAGAAAATAATGGAGGGCTGAGGGACCATTATCAGGTCCCCACATTCAGATGAGGACAGGAACACAGGAAAACCCATAATGGGGACAATAAAAATTTATCTTACAGGTGTGGTGAGTTTTGGGCCTCGTTGTTTTCCAAGTAGAGCTTTTAAAATATATATTGATACCTTGTTATTTCTCTTATTGCTATGTCCCAAAACCATCCATTTCTCTTGGTGAGAGAATTGCAGGGAAGACTTTTACACTCAGAATGACTAAAGGCTGGGGTGAGAAAGGGAACCAGAAGGGTTTCTGCCCAGGGAGGGGGTGACTATGCAATGCTGTGGCTAAGCTGCTGGCACAGAGGTACACGGCTGAGTCCCCAGGTTCTGTGGGCTGGATCTTCAGAGTGGAGAATGATCCATTAGAGATCTTAGCTGAGAATCGTTCCTTGGGCATCCCCGTGTCATCTATAGGAGCTTTATTATTGAAATAAATCAGCAATTTCAGTCCCTGCTCCAAGGTCTGTCTATACCAGTAAAGGTCACTATGGCCTGAAATTGGCTCACAATTCAGTATTACTTCTTGTCCCATCTTTGTCACCTTGTGCCTGGGTGTCTGGACAACTCCAGAATCTGTGTGCTCTGTGGAAGTGGTGGACAGAGTTTTAAAACAGAATAAAAAACATAAATGGAATAAAAACTAGAAATATCCAAAAAGGCAGATGTTTTATTTCTAGGAACTTACCTACTAACATGAGGCCAAGGGTCAGACAGCAGAGGAGCCAGGTGGCCATGGCGAGGTGGGATAGCAGGAAGCTTCACCCAGATGATGTCTTTTGAACACACACAGAGGGGTAAGGGTTCTAGTTCCTCTGGTCTCCACAAGGTGGAGAGTGGCTTGTCAGTGACAATGCTTTCTGTCACTGCTCATAGGACCTCCTCCATAACTGAACATTAATCCTCGGAAGACTGACTGGAATAGGGCATATCTATTCTGGGATGTGATTGGTTCATTCAAAGTCTCCAAAACTTTCAATAATTATCACCTCTCACACCCTGTGCTTCTACCATTCTTTATTCTCTGCTATATCACATGCCTACTGTCTGCTAGACATTTTTCTCTGTGTGTGGGTCATCAACACTGCAGTTTCTGGACACGAATAAAGTACTTTCTAAATCTCAAGTCCTTCATATTCCGCTGAAGGCAATCCCTATCTCCCAGACACACAAGTCTAAATAAAGTTCTATTGAATTGGGGCTTTTATCCAGATCCATCCTGGGAGGATTCTGATTGGCCACACTGGATGTAGAAAATTATTGAGAGTGAGGAGGTCAAGGAACTGAGAAATGCAACATGTGTAAATTGTCCATGTGATGAAGAAGTCATCAATAATAGCAGGATTGGTAGTGAGGAGAAGAAGTGAATAAAGAGAGACCTGATGGTAAAGAAGTGAGTGTAAGAACAAAGGGTAATATTCTAATGCTATGTGTGTGAAGAGCTGGGTATTTAGACAGAGGAGAAGTTAATGGTCTGTAAACTATAGGGAGAACCCTGGAGGGCAAAAAGTGCACTGATATCAGACATCAAAGAAGATTATTTCTTGGTGTAAACACAGTGGAATTTTATTCATCACTATTTCCATCTTTAAGATCAGGGCCCCTGAATAGCAAAAAATAGGTCAATTACTATGTTGTTGACTATATGACAGATCTCTAGAAACCTTGTGGGGGAAAGTCTGTTAATAGCTTAGAGTGAGAAGAGAATGGAGGGCTGAGGAGCCATTACCCAGAACTTCTGTCACTCAGATGGAGGAATGCAGGAAAATTCACAGTGTGGGTAATTAAGGTATATCTTACCTGTGTGATGAGTTTTGAGCCCACTATTTGTGAGCAACCCTGAAGCCCATTTCCTACATTGTTTCCTATGCAGGGTTTTCTAGGTGGGATATGTTATGACTTCTGTTCTTGACATCCCCAAACACATGCATTTTCTTGATCAGGGAGGAGCACAGAAGATTTTTACTTTGAACACCTGGAAGCTATAGTGAGCAGGGGAAGCAGGAAGGTTTCTGCACAAGAAGTGCATGACTCTGAAGCATTGTGGCCAAGCTGCTGGCACAGAGGTACACGCCAGAGTCCCAGGTTCTGTGGGCTGGGTTTTCAGAGTGGAGAATGATTCATTGGGCATCTGAGCTGAGAATCGGTCATTGGGCATCCCTTTCTTGTCAAGAGAAGCTTGATTGCCAAAGTAAATCAGCATCTGAGGTCCCTGCACCGAGGTTTGTCTGTACCTAAAATTGGCTCACAACTCAGAGTTACTTCTTGTCCCTTCTTTGTCACCATGCTCCTGGGTGTCTGGGTGACTACAGCATCTGAGAATCCTGTGGAAGTGGACAAAATTTGGGAACAGGGTTAGGAACATAAATGGAATCAGAACTAGAAATATCGAAAAAGCAAATTCTTTATTTCTGAGGACTCACCTACTTTCATGAGACAAAGGGCCATACAGCTGTGGTGCCAGGTGGTCATGGCAGGGTGTTGCACTAGGAGGCTTCACTCAGAGGAGGCCCTTATGGGCATGAACAATGGGGCAGGGGTTCTAGTTCCTCTGGTCTCCACAAGGTGGAGAGTGGCTTGTCAGTGGCAATGCTTTCTGTCACTGCTCATAGGACCTCTTCCCGAAGTGAGCATTAATCTTCTCAGAAGACTGACTAGAATAGGGCATATCTATTTTGGGATGTGATTGGCTCATTCAAAGTCTCCAAAACTTTCATCAATTGTCACTTCTCATAGCCCTGTGTTTCTACCATTCTTTCTTTTCTGCTATATCACATGTCTATTCTCTGTTAGGCATTTCTGCGTGTGTGTGCCATCAATACTGCAAAT